TTGCCAAAGTAGCTTCACCATTTTACATTCCCACTAGCAGTGTACAAGGGTTCCAGTTTCTGTCTATCCTCACCAAAACTTTTTATTATCTTTTTATTGATTGATTGATTGCTCTGGGGATTAAGCTCAGGCGTGCCTAATCACTGAGCCACATCCTCTGCCCTTTTTTATTTTCTATTTTGAGACAGGGTCTTGCGCTTAGGGCCTTGTTAAGTTGCTGAGGCTGGTATCAAACTTGTGATCTTCCTCCTGCCCCAGCCTCCTGAACTGCTGGAATTAGAGGTATGCACCACCATACCCAGCCCATTACCTTTTTTATTACAGTTATCCTAGTAATGTGACATGGTATCCCTGTCATCTCTTATTCCAAATTCTGGTTTCCTTAAGACTTCTGAGAAATGGAACAATAGCTCTTCCTTATTCAAGGGCTGGAATGTTTGGAGCATGTGTCTGGGAGGTTAGAGGAGAGATGACTCATTTAGTGTCCATTTTTGCAGCTACCTGCCAATTGATTTTAATGTTCAGATGAGAAAGAGAAGGGCAAGGAATCCCTTTTGAACTAGTTAACAAAAAATGAGTACAGTTGCCCCATTATACCAAAATTTAAAAAGTATAATTTTAGCGATACAGTTTTGGTGAGGGAGTTTTGGTGAGTATGGTAATTAACTCCCAAAGTGTAATTAATGGAAGATTTTATTATACAAGTGTTCTAAAAATGATAGAATAGATGATGTAATCTTATTTAAAGAATTTTTGGTGAAATAGTCTGGTGTTTTTATTATCTCTGTATTCACTSCAGCTTCCATGAGTTTAATTTTTCTGCTTTAGAAAAAAATGAATCCACCTAGGACAGAGACTTCTTTCTGGATCATTGAAGGAGGCATTTTGATCCAATTGGATAGGCATCTGTTTCAAAGCATTTGAACCAGTCACAACCTCTCATTCTGTATTCCTCTCTCAGAAAGTTATTCAGGAATTTGGAGCTATTTTAAACTGGGTGTATTATAAGAAAAGCTGCATGGTCCTGGGCTTCTAGTGGTTTCTATGAAAGCTTTAACCAGCAACAATTAAATAATGGGTGAGGGCAGAAGAGGGATAATTCCCTGGATTGTGAAGCCCAGCAATGTCTTTAATGATGTCCGCCTCTCTGTGCACCCAACCCGGGGCCCAGCTCATAGTAATGTTCAGTAAATACTTTAGAGTAGGTTGCAAACACTCTGCCATCACAGTATGGGAAATTGTAGCTTTCTGTGGTGTTTCACTGCCTGGCAATGTATGATTAACCCACCTCAAGAGTCAGAATCATTTATTCATTCAGTTATTCATTCAACAGGGATTTATTTGTTACTACTATTGACCTGTGTTAGGCATTAGAGACCTAAGGTATGCAGGTGTGAAATAGATTTCTTATGTAACATACACGTGACTGCATAAGTCACGCAATAACAGGATAGCAAATTCATCATTTATAAGGTGGCAACCTTGGGAACATGAAGGAAAGCCTAAAATATTCTTGGTCTCAAATCAGAGACTATACAAAGTTGTATGTATCCATAGCTGACTTCTAGCTCCACTACCTGGCTGTGATATGTTTGTTTAAGCCCGATTGCTAGTCAGATATTTATGGGCATCCTTAGTCACCAGATGATTTTAAATATAAACATCATGATAGTACAGATTTAATTCTACTGATGAAAGTAAATGCTCATTTTGGGGTGAGAATGCAGTACTATTTTTAGACCACTAGGGCACCACTTGACAAAGTCTTAATGTATCTTCAAAAATGAGCACTGCTTTCTAATTTTGGATTAGGAACAGGGAAATATGAATCTATAGCTTATACACTTGTGCCTTAAACAGTTTCTCTCACTACTGAACATACATTTCATATTTTGATTTTACGGAGGAATGAATTACCCATTTTAGATTTAAAAATTTACTACTTTAACACATGAATAACTGGTGGGAAGGGAGTCCCTTTATAACCTAGATATTGGGCACTAAGGCTATCACTCTATCAGTTGGGGTCCTCCTGGTTATGAAGTGGTAAAAACCACCTCACAGTTCTGCTTCTTTCTCATGCTTCCTGGGGGTGGGCAGGTGCATGTGTGTATGTTATTAGAGTGGTAGGTGTCTTGGCTGAAGGAGATGCCATCAGTCAGTGCTCATTTTGATTTAAGGCTGCAAGACTTGGCAGGGAAACCCGAGAGGTCAAGAGAAAGCATAATGGCTCTGAAATGCTTTGGCCCAGGGGGAAGGCATCAGCACTCCTCATAGGCCCTTGGCCTGTGGATTGAACCCAGGGATGCTTAAATACTGAGCCACATCCCCAGCCCTTTTTTATATTTTAGTTAGAGACAGAGTCTTGCTGAGTTGCTTGGGGCCTCATTAAGTTGCTGAGGCTAGCTTTGAACTCATGATCCTCCTGCCTCAGCCCCTCGAGTTGCTAGGATTACAGGTGTGCACCACCATGGCCGTCTTTAATGGGATTTTCTTGTATTTATAATATACTTTTGGAAAGCAGGGATGTGGTATATAGCAGGCACATTTTATTCCAAATGGGTTGGAAAGCTAACTTTTTCTCAAAAATAATTAAAATAATAGAAAAAAAAGGCAGATAAGGATATTTACACTATTTGGAATAAGAGACACCTTTGTAAGCAAGATTTAAAAACCAAGAAGCCACAAGGGGAAAAATTTTCAATATTAGATTACATAAAAAATTTTAAAAAGATACCATAAATAAGGCTTAAAGCTAAAAAACAAATGAGCAAAATATTTGTGATCTAAATAACAGACCCAAACTAGGTGATGTGATCCAAGCATAAAATCATGTTGCTCTTGTAGGACTGTGGTGGGGTTTAAACGAGATTAAGTGCCCAAAGTAGATACTTACTGTAGGTGCTATTGATACTTTAAAGAATGCCTACAAATCATTTTTAAAAGACAACTAATACAAAGGGGATATAACCAAACAACTTTATGAAACAATGTAAATGGCCAATAAATATATAAGAAGATGTATGACCACACTCCTGACTAAAAAAACAAATTAAGTGTGCAGTGAGATCTGTGAGATGTTTTCCACTCTAGTAAGTCCCCCCTTTGCAGTGAGAAGGAGTGACACTAGTGCAGGGCTGGCGCAGGTGGATGGACACTGTTTGATTTCCTGTTGCTAGGGTATACTTTATTTAGTACACTATTTAGGAAAGAGTCTGAATTGTACAATAAAACCGAAATCGCTTTCACCTAGCCTTTCCACCTTCAGACATACCAGCTTGAATGCAGAAAAATGTTAAGTACCTGAATTTTTTTTTTTTTTTTTGCAGCAGCCTTTTTAACCTAGGAATGGCTCAATAAAATGTGTTCTATCTCCACAGTGGAGTGTGCCAACTGCTGAAGAGAAATGAGGTAGCTCAGAGTGTCCTGATGTGGAAAGAACTCTAAGATACTTGTAAAGTGGAAGCGGGAGGATGCATGTTTCAAAATGTTATGTTTGGGGCTATGATTGAAGCTCAGTGGTAGAGTGCTTGCCTACCATGTGTGAGGCACTGGGTTCAATCCTCAGCACCACATAAAAATAAAATAAAGGCATTGTGTTCACCTACAACTAAAAAATTGTTTTTTTTTTTTTTTTTTTTAATGTTTAAGATTAAATTTTTGCCCAGTAGCTTAGGAGGTTGAATCAGGAGGATTGCGGGTTCAAAGTCAGCCTCAGCAATGGTGAGGAACTAAGCAACTCAGTGAGTCCCTGTCTCTAAAAATACAAAATAGTTCTAGGGATGTGGGTCAGTGGTTGAGTGCTCCTGGGTTCAAACCCTAGTATCTCCCCTGCAAAAAAAGATTGAATTTTTATTTAAAAATTATTCATAGTGAGAGGCTGGGGTCGTGGCTTGGTGGTAGGGTGCTTGCCTAGCACCCTGAGGCACTGGGTTTGATCCTCAACACCACATAAAAAAATAAATAAATAAAAATGAAAAGTTTAAAAAAATTATTCATAGTAAAAACAAGGAACATGCTTAGAGAAGTAAGACAATTTTTGAAACATGCATACCAGAAACACTATTGATTGCCTTTGACTATTATAAGATGCTAATACATATTAATAACATTTGAGTCTTATATGATGAATATATATGATAGTTAAATAAAAATTCAGAAAGAAATAAGCAGGGATAGATAAAGTAGATCGATTTACAATAAAATAAGTTTTCAACTTTCCCTACTTGGGGTGGGCAATAATGTAATAATAATTGCTGATGCTAAATTTTAATTTATGTTTCAGGTATTTGGTGGCTGAGTAAGAAGTCCAAATAAATAGAAAATTTAAATCTCCTTGTGTCTTTTTTTCTATTTGCTCTTTTAGAAGACAACACATAAGATGACAAGGGTTCTTATTGGAAGTGTTTCACCAGTTAATGTTTTTGTCAGTTGAGTTTTTTGTTACCCCTCCTAGTAAAAATCTTTATCAGGATAAATGTACTCACCTAAAGAAAAAGTTTCTTTCATTTCTGTTGCTGTAAGATGAGTACTTTGGTGGGCTAGGGTTATAGCTCTGGATCTATCATGTGCAAGGTCTGAGATTTGATTCCTAGCACTGCAGGAGGGGGAAAAAAAAAGATTGGTGTTTTGTTGTCCCCAAGAGATGTTTATAATGGTATTTTTCACATGTATCTCTCCCTTAAAAGACTGAGTAAGAAGTAGATTAATAGTGCAGTGATAACCATGAAAGCTATTTGATTTTAGTTATAAAATGTGGTTTATATCTACAGCTTTCCTGCTTTAGGTGACTTCTAAGCACCTAAAGGATGATATCATGGACTAATATTTTTCTGCATTGACATCTTAATTTGACTACCTTTCACATCCCACTTACACCCTAACAGTTATTTTCTAGTGTGTGTCCTGTGTGTTTTTCTAAGTGACTAATTTTATGCAACTTGATTTTATATAATGACTTCTTTCTTTGGTTTGTTTTACCCTTCTGGCATTTCTTACAGAAGTCCTGCAGGGGATTTGGGAGCCAAAAAGAAAAAAAAGAAACAGAAGAGGAAAAAGGAGAAGCCTAATTCTGGAGGCACCAAGTCCGACTCTGCATCTGATTCCCAGGAGATTAAAATTCAGCCGCCTTCAAAAGTGAGAGCCTGTTTTCTTCTCACCTCTGTGGTTCCTCGTGCAGATGACAGTGTGTTTGTGCAGTGTAGAGCCCTGCCAGACCAGATGCTCTGTAGTTAGCGTTTTGCTGTGACTGTGTTTGAATGGCATAGTAGCTGGGAGGAATTTACAGCCTCCCTGAAACCAACTGTGACACCGACCTTAGAGGTATTTCTGTGCTTTTGTGTGTGTGTGTGTGTGTGTGTGTGTGTGTGTGTGTGTGTGTACCTTCCCTTTCTCAGTGCATTAGTATTTAGATTGTAGTTGTAGAAGAAAGTCTCAGTGTGAGCTTGCAAGGTTTTTTGAAATTACACTTAATAATTTGATTATTTTAGTTCAGAAGATATTCACATTTTAATTTTTCTGGGTGTCTGTCTAATTACCTGCCTAGCACAACACCATCTGGCATCAGATTTCAGCGGGAACAGCCATGGGTAAGTCTTATGTTGACTTTGAATCAGAACAGTGTCAGTGACCATTTCTCATTCTGTTGTCAAGGGCAGGGAACATCTCCTCACATTCTCCCTGAAGAAGCACCCATTTTAGACTAAACCAGAAGTTGTCCAGCTGGGCCCCCTGTTGGTAGACTGCTGGCATAGCAGAGGGTTGGTTGTGCAGTATAAGTGTATGGTGGTGCAAATGGTGGCCACCCTGTCTGTGGAGCCAGCCTGCCTCAGGCTGGCTAAGAACACAGCCCGTGTATGGAGGGCTCCCAGGAAGCCCAGAGCCCTCTTGATTCAGAACACCCTGAGCCCAAAGGAACAGAATTAGAAGTATAATGAAATCAAGATGATTTTGATGGTTGTAGCTCCAAATAGATTTTCCAAGGTGGTGTGTGCTGTCATGGCAATGACCATGGGCTTGGCCCTGGCTCCATTACACCTTAAGACTATTTCCTTCTCCCCAACTCACAGGCTGTCATGAGGTTAAAATGAGGTATTTTTATTAAAAAGTTTGTATTACAAAGCACTGCATATGTAGCAGGTATTACCATTATGCAGGTTTTTTTGTGTTTAATTTTTTTCTTATACAGAGGTTACATTCTGTCATACAAAATGAATCTTGTAGGTAGTTTGTTGTTGCTTTTGTTGTTGTTATTATTACCTGCTTTACACAAAACCAGGAATCACTGAGAAGGAAAATTACTTGCCCCAGTTTTGCCCTGACTGTGACTTTGTGGGGAGAGAAGAAAGTGGAGTCTTCCTCCCTAGCTTTTCAACTTGCTTCTCAGGTAATAAATACTCTGTCCACTATCCATAAGTTCCCAGGTAACTCATTGGAGAATACCACAGTGAGCTTGCAAAATGTTTCTCCCATTTCTAAATGTTGCTTTGTCAGATAAACGCAGCGTCACTTACCTGCAGTTGTGGCATCTCCTTTTGCTTCTACCATCCCATCAGCTTCCACCCATCCCACCACCCTAGTGAATCTGAGCCCTTCGCTCACCTTGATCACTGATGCAAAACTGGAGCCAAACAAGGCAGGAGGAACTGTAAGCATTGTCTAGTAGAGAGTTTCTGTTCATTTTTAAATTAGGTGCAAGTCAGCAGTGTTGTAATGTGGATTTTCCTCTGTTGTATTTTTTTCAAAAACTGGAGCTTTTCCCTCTTAAGCTCATGCCAGCTCTAGAAAACATTGTAATTTACAGTGGACTACATTTAGGGAATATTCTCTCTCTTTCTTTGTTCCCTCCCTCCCTTCCTCCCTCCTTTCATTCTTCCTTCCTTCCTTCGGTGGTGGGGATTGAACTGGGGCCTTGTGCATGCCAAGCAGGTGCTCTATGCTAGAGCTACATCTCCAGCCCCTTCTTATAGACATTTTAGTGGAGGACTTGGACATTTTCCCCAAGACATTAAATTTAGCAAATAATAGGTAAAGATATCATYGATGCTTAGTATTCCATATGGAGCAAATGTAGAAGAAAAGAGGAATACCCGCCTTTCACATAAGAGTTTAATAGTGGGCACTAATATGGAACTAATATATATTCTCATCTTTCTTCCAAAGTTGTGCTTTTATGGAAGGTGAATGGGTGGGGTTAGAATTTGTCACAGAGCTGGAAGTATAGCTCAGTGGTAGAGCACTTGCTTAGCATGTGCTAGGCCCTGGAAAGAAAACAATTAAAAAAAAAAAGGAATTTATCATAGCTGAGTTGTCCTTATTGATTTGAAACTTGTGCTTTACTTAAATCTACTTTCAGAGAGCATTTAAATAGGTATGGGTTGCAGCTCTGTGGTAGAATACTTGCCTAGCATGGGTTTGATTCTCAGTACCACAAAGAAAAAACAAAAGAGAAAGCATTTTAATAGTGAACGTCAAGATGTTAATATTTTACAAATGGTCATTTCATTTAATGGGTTCTGGTTAACCTGATGATGCTAACTAGGTAGGATATAAATCACTGTGAGACCTTCCTCATAGAGTTGGGATTACCATTAGCTCCTTTCGAACAAAGGTGCCAATTCATGTTTGTTGCAAAGTAATTTGCTTTTTGATGCATTAATTAGTGTTAAAAGACTTGATTACCGGGAAAGAAAAATTATCAAGACAAATTCAGTGTAGACCTTGTCAATATATTTTTGTAAGCCTGGTCTCTACTTTGCCTTTTTAAGCTAAGTTTAAATGAATGTTCAAACATTGTTAGTCAAAATGTGCTGTGATCTCAATTCCCATTGAAGTCWTAGTCTCTTAATAGATTGTGTTGTTGGGGTTCAACTGGATGTAGATTTTGTTTACCTAGAAATCAATTACTTATAATGTTGGAAAATCAAAAGAGACTCAAGCAAAGGGAATAATCCCAAAATACAATAAATTAGAATAGGAAAAATACTTTGGTAAATTTCTTTGTGTCATTAAGATGGCCCTTATGATTTAGATCTCAATCAATATGTAAGATGAACAGCTTACAAAAATCATGGCGATCCTGGGTTATGTCATTAGACTTCTGAGTGGAGGTGCTAAACTTGCCTCCAGTTAGACTTTAGGACTTTGTTTTCTGGATCATTTTAGTATCAGCAACCCTAAGGAACCAGTGAATAAAGCAGCCACAGGATAGTCTCTGTGTAATGAAACCTGTTTTGTGCTGTGTTAAATGGATAAGCTTCCCAGGTTAAAACAATTTGCTCCAGACCACAGATTTCAAAGTCGAGCAGGAGTCCAAAGGTACTGTTTATAAACCCCTGAGGGTCAATCTCACTTTTTCTTTGTGTCCATACAACAAAACTGAAGGCTCTGAAATTTCTTCTAACTACTTCAGAATTGCAGTGAAGAATATTCCTTGAGTAGTATCAGGATTTTGAAACTTTTCAGTTTGCTTATTGAGAAAAAGTCCCTGATTTCCACATTTAGTCCTATACATTGCCCTCTCATTAACACATCATTTGAGGAATTACAAAAAGAGCTGGAGAATCCCCAGGAGATGACAGGAATACTGCCTTTAAGAAGGGAGCTTTAGAATTTAAAGGAATTGTACATTTTACAGACTGAGAATATGTTTTACTAAAAAGGAGGCTAATTTTAAACACTTGAGTGTGTGTGGGGGGCAGGTGGTAAGTCCTGAGGACTGGAGTTGCTTTTGGAGCTGCTGGCCTTCTGTTAACAGGCTTGTCTCCAGAGGACTAGGTGAGGGGCTAGGAGAGGAGCTACGTGTGGTCCAGGAGGAAGGGACGTGGTGAAGGGTTTCTTTCTTAATCATATCCTTCCCAGCTTAGCACCAATTTCAGATTTCTTTTTCTTTTCTTTTTTATTTTTTTAATTTAATGATCTTGTCTGCCTAGTTTCTGTTCTGGAAGTTATTACTCCGTCCCCCCCATTGCTGCTGCAGAGCATTAAACCTGACAGTGGCTTGTGGCTGCCTGGCTGCTGTATGACAGTAATGCATGCACTGCATGTCACTCCTTTTGGTTTTTCCTCCCAGAGGAACAGTGGTGGGACCATTGCAGGTGGGTGGGAACCTGAAACAAAGGATGCTTCCATTTACTTTAGATTTTCCAAACTGCCAGAGTCCCATTCGAACTACAGAACTGTTGTTTCCTGTAACAAAATACATTGCTTATATCGTGATCCTGGAGCCGCAGCCTCCAGCAGACTTTGAGGAGGTTGGGCAGTGTTTAGGGATGCCAGTCTCCATGGCAGATAATCGTGCATCTGCCCCAGGTTTAAGAGCAGTGGCAGCTTCCTCATACTTTGTGTCTCTGTGTCTTTGCTCTTCTAGAATCCCACCATCCCCATGCAGAAGCTACAGGACATCCAGAGAGCAATGGAGCTACTCTCCGCATGCCAGGGCCCTGCCAGGAACATTGACGAGGCTGCAAAACGCAGATACCAGTTTTGGGATACGCAGCCAGTACCTAAACTAAGTATGCTCTTCTACTGCCCACCCTTCCCCCAAAACAAGGGTTGATTAACAGGAATCAAAAATATGAAATAGATTTTACTTCATTTATATCATTTGCTCCATACCATAAATTTAAAGTTTACATAGAAGTAATATTTGTCTTTTTAAAATATAAATTTTAGGTAGTGACATTGGTTTTCAATTACAGTGATTTTATCTGACTTGTATCCCTATTACAATATCCAATTTCCCTGAACTTGAAATATGATACCAAATTATATATAACATTATACATATAATGGTGTGTGATTCTCCTGTCACCTTTATTCTACTCAGTCATGGAGTTGTTTTCTGTAAATATAAACTTTTAGCATTTTCACTCCTCAGTTATTCTGTAAGATGTCAAAGGTTTTCCCTATAACATCTTATTGAAATGTATAGTTTTATACCATTTAATGATAAGATTCTGAACACTCATCAGGGGCATTACTACTAATTCAGTAGCATCCTAGTGTCACATGGGAATTACAGCATGTAATGAATGTGAAGATCTCATACTTTGGTATACTAAGAAACTACCATGGGGCCTCATCCCCTGATGCTTCCCTGTTCTATTAGATTTCAATTAGACTTTTACCAGTTAAGTAATCATAAACATAATTTAACTGTTCCTCTTTCCCTTTATGGAAAAAAGATGATGTTTATAAATGCCATAAAAATGTTAAAAAATACACAATGTAAATCTCCTACTTTGTATTATGTATATGAAAGTAATTGTCCTCCAACTATTTCTACACTGTGAGTTCAGGTTCTAAATCGATATCATATAAAGAATTGCCAGCCAGAACTCTAAATAGCTCAGCTATGTACAAAATAGTCCATTTTCTCAAACATAAATCAAGAAGCAATTCTTTCCTATGCCTTCAAATATTCGTTTTCAAAATTTTGAAAGCTGCCACGCCTCTCCCACCCACTCTTACCCAACAGGTTAAAAGGCCACGACCTTCTGAGTGGTAAAGAAAGAAGGGCTGGGATGTAGCTCAGTGACAGAGCACTTGCCTGGCATGCATGAGGTCTTGGGTTCAACCTTCCAAATTGCAAAAACAGAAGAGAAAAATATAGGCATGGTGGCACATGCCTATAATCCCAGCTACTTGGGAGGCTAAGATGGGAGGATTACAAATTTGAAGCCAGCCTGAGCAAGTTAGTAAGACCCTGTCTCAAAATGAAAAACTGAAAGGGTTGTGGAAATAGCTCAGTGGTAGAACACCCACGGGCTCTATCCCTGGTACAAAAATTAAGAAGAATAAGAAGAAGGAAATGATCTTTGCTTGCCTTTTTTCTTTCAGATTCTAGAAATGTGTTTATTAATGGAGGGAGGTTCTTTAAAATGAATTTACAGGATTCTTAATTGCATTCAGTTGAATGAACCTTGGTTAAGGGCTCTAGGTCTACTGGCTTGAATGTACTGGGTTAAGCTGAATGCTACTCACCAAGCCACTCTCCCATCCTAAAGAGAAGAAAGCCACTTAAAGCTAGCCACCTGACCCCAGGCCACCTTTTTTGGGAAGATAATCTAGGGGCTCATCTTATTGTTACCATCTGGGGGTGCTGGGTTCATTGTCTCTGTTCAGCAAAGAACTGAAGAACAGGACACAGAGGTAGCAAGCAAGCAGCAGGTTTATTGCAAAAGTGACAGAGATAGTGACAAAAGTGACAGAAACTTCTCTGGAGAGAAGGAGCCCCAGAGTTGGGAATCCAGTAGGGGAGTTTTGGCTCATTTTTTTTTTATGGTCTCTGGAATTTCCTCCTTCCTTATTTCCTCCGCTGTCCAAGCTCTCCTCACTATTATTCATTTGTGCCCTGTCTGTCCATGTGTCTGTTTTGTTTTTCTATTGGGTCCCCTCTTGTGTCCATGAACACTTTTCATCAGCCAGGAAGTTGACCTCATCAGAAGACCCTCTCCATGCTCCTTTGTTCTGGCCCTGCCCCTGACCTCCTCACTTGCCATCCTACCCGTCTAAGCCCTTCTATATTTCCCTCACTATTTTGCCCCTTGGCCAAATCCTTGCACAGTTCTTCAGTTCCTAGAACTCTTTGTGCTCACCTTAGTTCAGAGGCCATAAGGTGAAGGAAGCCAGGCTGTGGGAGGACATTTGGAAGTCAGACTCTTGAGCCTGAGGTTGGGGAGGATATTTGGAAGGCAGACTCTGCCTCTCCATTTCTGCCCATCCAGAGGAGCTGACCCCAGCTGTTTGGAACTATTTGCATGGGATGGTTGTAGAGACAGCATGAGAGCCAATCACCAAGCAGTTGTCAGGGACTCTGTTTGGGAGGGACTGGGAATTTGATCCCCTGGGCTGACTTGAGAAAGCCTGTGGAGATGAGGTGGCAAAGTGGAGATAAAACAAGAATAACTAGGTTAAGGATTAGGCAAGGGAGGGGAGCTGTTATAAACCCTGTGACTTCTACCTACAGAAAGATTCTGTGATAGGAAGAACTAGGCCTTGAGGTTCTTTCATTCAGCAGTTGTTAGTTGAATGTCAGGCATAGTATGGAGCACATGYTCCAGAACTAGGTGTGAAGGCAAAACAAATGGTGGCCAGGCAGGGTGAGGAACACATTTTAGATAGGAAAAGGCTTTAGTCAGGGAGAGATGTCATAGGAAAGTGATGCATAAACATCTGTCTGAGAAAGTCCCAGGCCCATCTGTATGATGACCAAGGCAGGGTCTCAGTAGAGAAAGGCACCAGGAAGGCCCTGAGCTGGGGCAAACATGAGAGAGGTCAGTATGGCCAGAGCACTGGGAGTAAGGGGCAGAGAAGGGTGAAGTGGAGCAAAAAGGCAGCATGAGAAAGAGTCTGCATTTTTTTCCAGCTGCAAGGGATGTTCTGCAGAGGATAAATTGGAGGGAGGATTATGGAAATCACTAGAGACTGATGGTTTGGAGTACATGGCTAGTAGAACAGTTGGAGAGAAATCACCAGTCTTTGAATTAGGTTTTGCTATTGGGAGGGGTCACAGGTCACTCTCACACACCCCTCCCCCACTTTATGGAACTTCATTGTATAAGAGAACAGCTCTAAGGCTGTTGTATCAAACCTGTGTTGCTTACAGTGGTGCTGTGTAGTGAGTCTACAACCTAAGTTTGAGGCTTCGAAATCACTATCATTTCATAAAGTCATCTTTCTCATTGGGTGACAAAGGATTCCTCCTTTGATTTAACTGGTGGGGTGAGAGTTACTCCACACCACCAGTTAACTTTCCTGCTTTAGTCCAGAGGAAATTGAAATAATAGCATATTTTAGACTGTATTAAACTCAGCATCCTAAATCTGATTTTGTTTATGTTGCTGACCATTTGAGGTTGTCAGAATGCTTTGGTAATTTTCTCCTTTTTTCTTCTTGTCTTTCTCTCCAGATGAAGTCATAACATCTCATGGTGCAATTGAGCCGGATAAGGACAATGTACGTCAAGAACCGTATTCTTTGCCACAGGGTTTTATGTGGGACACTTTAGACTTGAGTAATGCCGAAGTGGTGAGTAAAACTCTTTAATTCAACATGTGCATTCACAAAATTGCTTCTGCATTGGTCCTGAGCACCATAGATAGGATGCTTATTATATCTTTTAGCTCAAGGAGTTATACACCTTATTAAATGAGAATTATGTAGAAGATGACGACAACATGTTTCGCTTCGACTATTCACCTGAATTCCTGTTGTGGTATGTCTTGCTATCAGGGTGTTATGGATTGGACTGTTAGATTGGGAGGTCTCAGGTCAGTTTCTGTGTTTTTGGACACTAACTGGTGCCTGTTTTCCTTGTTTTCCTTCAGGGCCCTGCGTCCCCCAGGCTGGCTCTTGCAGTGGCACTGCGGGGTCAGAGTGTCTTCAAATAAAAAACTCGTAGGTTTCATAAGTGCCATCCCAGCAAACATCCGCATTTATGACAGGTACATTTAAAGCTGTCCATGTCACCTTTTGTTTTTCTTTCTCAAGAATTGCAATGAGAGTAGGCCTTTAAAAATTACTCATTGTGGGGCTGAGGTTGTGRCTTAGTGGTAGTGTACTTGTCTGGCATGCACTGAGTTTGATCCTCAGCACCACATAAAAATAGTTGAATAAATAAATAAAGGTATCATGTCCATTTACAATTTAAAAAAATTACTCATTGTGAGTTGTCAATAGTGGAAGAGGTTGTGTGTGTGTGTGAGGACAGGGGCTGTATGAGAACTCTACACTCAATTTTGCTGTGAACTTAAAAACTCTTAAAGTTAAGTTCATTAATTATTAATGAATAAAAGAAAGATTAGACTGTGAACCAAAAGGAGAAAGAGGATGGGCTGTGGCTGTGGCTCAGTGGTAGAGCGCTTGCCTCGCACATGTGAGGCACTGAGTTTGATCCTCAGCACCACATAAAAATAAATAAACAATATAAAGGTATTGTGTCCATATATAACTAAAAATATTTAAGGAAAAAGAAAGGAGGAGGGCAAGACTCTGTCCACCCCTTTATCTGCCCCTTTTTTCTTCCTCCCTTCCCTTCTTTTCCTTTCCCTTTGCCTGTTTTTCCTTTTCTCTGTCAATCTCATACATGTACACATTGTTATGTACCTGTTCACACACATGTACACATGTATGTATGTTTCAGAATCGATAAAGCCATAAACTGACATCTAAGATTTATTCCTGGAAAAAAAAAAATCAAAAGTTTTAGGGGAGATAAAACCTTTCCCAGCCTGGTGCAGTGGCATACACCTGTAATCCCAATGGCCTAGGAGGCTGAGGCAGGAGGATCTTGAGTTCAAAGCCAGCCTCAGCAACTGTGAGGTGCTGTGCAACTCAGTGAGACCCTGTCTCTAAATAAAATAGAAAATGGGGCTGGGGATGTGTCTCAGTGGTCGAGTAACCCCCAAGTTCAGTCTCGGTACCAAAAAAAMCCAGAAAACAGAAAACACAACCTTTTCCTCCATAGGATAAGCATTTTGCTCTTGTTTTTTTTAAGTTGTTGATAGACTTTTATTTTATTTATGTATTTATATGTGGTGCTTAGAATCAAACCTAGTGCCTCACACATGCTAGGCAAGTGCCCTACCACTGAACCACAGCCTCAGCCCCTTTGCTCTCGAAATCTAACCCAGAAAGTTGAAGATTCAACTATAAAAATCAAAGACCTAATGTGTAAAAGGTCTATTTACCATACAGTATATTAGGTTAGTTTATTTACTGATAAAAACATGTGATCACAAGGAATATTGTGTGCCAAACAAGAGGCYTGCATATGTGGAAGCAGAGCTGGGACCAGGATTGAAGCTCTAGAAGGTTTACTGCAGCGAGGAAATGCACTGACTCTGGTCTGGTGAAGCCCTTCTCAGAGATCCCGAGGATTTGTATCATGCTTCAAAGTAACATCTTATCAGATTCTGTACTAGGGTGACTCAATTATTGCCATAATTGCATACATTGTAGGAAAAACAGATAAACTTTGAGGCATATCTCAAACATTTTCTAAAATGAAAACTTATAAAAGATTAAAATGTTAAAATTTATTTGGAACAAAGGGATTGAGCCTCCCTGACCTAGAGTTATAATCATTTTGGCAGGGATATAAAGCAAATAGTGTTTTGATCTGAATTTATGAATCTAGAACTAAATGAAGCAATATTTTTCTTAAGTATTGTGTTAAAGGATGTCTTCCATATTCTTATTCTTTGAAATTTTATGAGCATTTTCTTGTGTTGTAAAATGTGTTCATCTTGTTTTGGATCTAATTTTCAACATCTTTCTTTCTTAGTGTGAAGAAAATGGTAGAAATCAACTTTCTTTGTGTTCATAAGAAATTGAGATCAAAACGGGTAGCCCCAGTGTTAATTCGAGAAATAACTAGAAGAGTGAACCTGGAAGGAATCTTTCAGGCTGTATATACTGCAGGAGTTGTTCTTCCTAAGCCGGTGGCCACGTGCAGGTAATGGTAGACTGTATCCCTAACCCAGGTCTTCCCTTTACCAAGCCTGTTGAGCATCATGACCATTTTGGTAGAAGTGTTACTCTCCTCAGATGAGGGATTTTGCTCACTGGGGTTTGTGTAGTTTGTTGGTAGCAGAGATGGAGACCATTCATTTCAGTATACAGCCACTTGGCGATTTTTAAAAAAAGTCTTTAATATTTCCCTGCCATTGATACAGGATCTATATTTCTTTTCCTGATACATTCAAAAGACTAGTGCTGTCTTTGCATGGAGAAACCCAGGGCATTGTGATCTCAGTGTCCACTGTCGTGCTATTTTCTCTCCACACCTAAATTCAGTTTTCTTCCATGCTTTGCAGCACTATTGAACCATTCCAAAAGTCTGATAAGCATCAGTTGAAAAGTCCAAGATGTACTTGTTTGCTAAGAATAAAAAGAAGCTTACGCTGTTTTATGACTTTATTAGTTCTAATCAAGCTTTTAAGAACTGCTCCAGCGAGAAGGCAGTCAACAACCTGTGTCTAAAACATAAGAGTTATCACCTTCAAATAGGAAAAAATTTTAAGTAAACTTACTATAAAAGATAAAACTGAAAAATTACTATAACCTATTAAATTATTGCATTCAAAGATAAACAGGATGAAAGACTTCACATGTGTATTTTAATACAAATCCTTCATCCCAGTACCTAAATTGGAATCACTTAAGAAATTTAGACTGGTTTCTCAAAAAAGTTGTTTTCTTTGGTATGTATCCAACTAAAAAGTTACTTATTTAGAAGAAATAGTTTCATGTTTTTAAACCTGTTGGTTTGCCTTTGATAAAATCAGTGGTGGCCATTAAACATTTGTAAACCAGGGTGTAATTAATATTTTTCTTGAGGTTTTAAGATTCCTCTTTAGTGAAAGAAATAAAAGGTAACAAACTTCAAAGGAACATAAAGAGGAATGCAAGATATTTTAAAGATGGAAAAAATGACTAAGAAAATTACTGCAGACAAAGAGGGCCAGCCTCAGCACTATACCAGGCACAGCTTAAGTATTTAGTAAATGCTTATGGAGCAGCCAGGCTGAGGCAGAGTGAAAACACAGAGTTAGAAATCAATTAGATTTTAAAACCTTTATTGTATTCCAGATACTGGCATCGATCCCTAAACCCCAGAAAATTGGTAGAAGTGAAATTTTCTCACTTGAGTAGAAATATGACATTACAGAGAACAATGAAGCTTTACAGACTTCCGGATGTAAGTAAGAATGATTTGCAGTTTTTGAAGCTGTAACAATTRAAGCTTTTAAAAGGAAAGAAGTATTTGCAGCAGTCTCAAAATGGACCTGTGCCTGTGAAAGGGAATATATAGCTAAAACGACTGCTATAGAATTATAGGAACTAGGAAATTCAGGAACTAGAATTCAGGAACTAGGAAAATAGGGGAGTTCATTGGGAAATACCAGTTTATTTGTTTGTTTGTTTCTTTCTTTTAAAGATTTTTTTTTTTTTTTAAGTTCTTCAGTTTGTAGTTGGGTGAGATTGAATGAAATCAAGTAAGTTTTGGCATTTGGGTATTTATGGTCTGTTAAGTAAGAGGGAAGAAAAGTTCAGGTTGCCACTGATTTCTTGATACCATAGAGTGAAGGAGTCAAGTTTAGATAAGAGACCAAGGGAGAGGAAATAATGTTTCATTCAATTATCTTCTTTTTTTAAAAAGAACAAATTCCCAATATGAAAGGTTGTCTCTCTTAATAGGAAATTTAAGCATATTTAAAGTTAAGTAAGGCACATTTAGATGTGCCTTTTAGCCTTTGCTTTACTGGGGTCTCAGGTGGTGTGTTATTTATCACTTACTCTGTAAAAGATTGTCACAGACAGAGCAGCTTAAGACAGCACATTTATTCTTTTTTTTTTCTTTAATTTTTTTTAATTGTAGTCGGGCACAATACCTTTATTTTTATGTGGTGCTAAGGTTCGAACCCAGCACCTCGAACATGCTAGGCGAGCACAACTAGGCTGAGCCACAACCCCAACCCCAACCCCAGCACATTTATTCTTGCATGAGTTTTGCAGGTCAGGAATCCAGGTACCACTTAGCTGTGTCCCATTCTTTGGGTTCTTATGAAGCTGTCATCAAGGTATCAGCCAGAACTGGGGTCTCCTCTGAAACTTGACTGAGGAAGTACCAGCTTTCAGGCGTCCATGGTTGTTGGCAGGATTGACTTCTTTGCTGGCTGGTTGACTGGGCCTCAGCTCCTTCTTTGCAGGCTGCCAGAGGCCATCTTCAGTTCTTGGTCACCTGATCTTCTCTATAGGGCAGTGCACAGCATGGAAGCTTATTGACCAAAGCCAGTGAAAGCCAGAGAGTCTGTAGAGGGAATCTGCCAGCTAGATGGATTTAGAACTTTATATAAATCAGTTCATGAAAGCTGCCATTTTTATTGATCGGAAGCAAATCACAAATCCTTCAGCTGTTGGTTAGAAACAAGTTCCAAGTCCCATTTCTATTGTATAGAAGCAAACCTTAGTCCCTGCCTGTACACAGCAGGAGCAAATCACACAACCTGTGAACTCCAGAAGGTGTGAAAACTGGGTGCCCTTTTAGAATGTATCCACTGCAAATGGGATCTTTTGTTTGAATTTTGCTCTGTATGAATTGAAATAAAAACTTTAAGCATGCCTATTTTTTTTTTTTTTCACGAGGAGCTAATTTCTACTTTGGTCTCCCCAAATTTCAGTCTATTGAAGCTAAAGCAGTCTAGCTTCTGTGTAGGGAAAAGATCCACTTACATACAGGCTGCATAAAATGGATTTAATAATAAGGAGTTTTGTTATTTGCCATTGGTTTATTCAGAATGATTAGAATTTAAGATGCTAAAAGTAGTTTTGGCCTTTACATTTCGGTACAGATATCAATCTTTTCATAGATGACAAAGTTTTGGATGGTTGGTGATAAATCACAGGTCAGGCCTTGGTCATGAAACTAGGCCTTGGCATCTCCCTTCAGTTAGCTTGTGCTTCAGCCATGTGGTTGTAGTGACTGCCTTTTCTCCCATTAAATTGAAATTAATAGTATGCTTTCACATATATTATTCAGTTTGTTTTCACAACTTTTTGAAGTTAGTTCTTCTTTTCCCCTTATCCAGATGAAAAAACAGACTTATAAAGGTTGACACTCATGTAAGGGCACATCACCAGTAAGTGGATGGTTTGAGATACAAGCCCAGACATTAGTGTTTCTTCTGTTAGACCCTGTTGCTTATGCTGTCACCTCTCACATGCCCCTATTAGGGGCAACAACCACCAGCCAGGGTCATCATGGGCCACACTGTATAGTCATTACAATACAGGTTAGCACAGAGAAGAATAGTTGCCACAGTCCAGACAGCTCTCATTGGTGTGTTTCAGTCTCCTTTCCCCCTTCCAAGACATGGAAAAGGAAAATGAAGAGTAATTAAYGGAAAAAGAAGAGTGGGTAAAGTGGGTACAAGAGGTGAAAGTGCAGATGTTGAAAAATTGTGCGGGGCACACGCTTGTAATCCCAACAACTCAGGAGGCTGAGGCAGGAGGATTGCAAGTTTGAGGCCAGCTTGGACAACTTAGGAAGCCCTTGTCTTAAAATTTTTAAAAATAAAAATTATAAGGACTTGGGATGTAATTCAGTGGGAGAGCACCCCTGGGTTCAATTCCTGGTATCAAAAAAGAAAAATACTGGAAGGTGCCAACAACAGAGGCACTCTTCCTCTTCTGGTAAAAGCTGGACAGTGCAGCATATGCGAGATCCTTTTTGTCTCCAGAAATCGGATGGATGAGACCACTGCTAGCAATCTAGTCAATTAAGAACAATTTTGTACCATTTAGCATAAGAAGAGCCTTACTGAATGCAATTCTTGCTTTATAGAGAAAGTGTCATTTTCTGATCTCTCATATTGTTTCTGCTTATAGGACTTGCTTTATATCTTTTTCCTGGACTTCTGAATAGGGCAGTTGACATTTATTGGGCCAGCATTGTGCTGGACAATTCAACTTCTATAATCTTATTTATTATTCATAACAGTCACAGGAGATTCATAACAGTCACAGGTCATTATCCCCACATCATGGGAGAGCATATTGAAACACAAGATTGGGCTTTATTTCCTTATGTATTTGTAAGCAGATTTTAYACAGATTTCAATATACATACAGTCCAGTGAGTAATGGACATTAATTTGGCCCTGGAAGGTACATCTGACTCAGATACAGGATTTTGACACATCAGATTTTCTGTTACTGGAAACATCTCTTCACTTTTCATTGACCTCTTAGGAAACATGTCCCCTTTACTTCTCTCATTATACAAAAACTTAATGTTTTATTAAAGCTTTAGTCTTCCCACTTCTTCCTGAAGATAATAGCTAGAGTTGGTTTATTTCACATTTTAAAAGTTTTGTTCTTCCATTTTTTCTTCTTTAGCCATTGCTGGTTGGCACAGTTGAATCGTTTTCCCCTATTTTCTAGTCCTACCCTCTTTTTATGGCTGGTATGTTCTGTTCTGTTTTGCCTTAATGTATTGGTAAATATTTTTTTTTGAAATGCTTGTAAATTGCCAAAGTTTTGATGCTTTGTATGTTTTTGCCCAAACACTGTTTCACTAAGTCTTTACATTCTACTACCTTCTGAGACCAAAGGATAGCAGTGTGGTCCACAGACCCTTCAATGTCATAATGATGATTAGACTTAGGATTTGAATCCATGAAATCAACACTATTTCTATAATAACAATTAAGTATAATTTGCATATTTACTTTYATCCTCTTAAAAATGTACTAAAAAGTGTTCCAGAGGCTATATGGAATGTGTCCTTATGTCAAATTTTGATTTTAAATGTTCTCAGTTTAATTTCTAATCGGGTCAATGTGGGTATATATAACCCACATAATCAAAGCTTTTCAGGGCTTCTCAATAATTACTAGTACCAAGAGGTCCTGATACTGAAATGTTTGAGAACTGTTATTTAAGGATGGTCGCTGGGCTAAAGGTGTRTTGCTTTAGTGATTTCACAGTGTGAATATTGAGTCAGTGAGAAATATATGCCAGAGAATATTTTGCTTCAGAAACAAGTTGGCAAATTTCTTCCTTCTGAATGTTSTCTATTAATAGATGTCATATATCCTGTTGCTTTCATTAATTAATCTAATTGCTTGATATTATTGTTACTGTACCAGTAACAAAAGAAAAAGAATGGCTATTTAATCAAGCAAAGAAAGTCTGCTTCATAGCAGAAAATGATTCTGACCATGGTTTACATAGATATGTGCTTTTAGTCTTTTAACTAGCATTTTGAAATACATGTTTATTTTTTTTTTTTAATTTCAGTTGGGACCTGGATATTTCTGACTCATCAGCTTTCAGAGCAACAAAAAACAAAATATATGAATTGTCCATTAAATGTTAAGGACTCAAATTCTCTAAATTTAGGTTATTAAATGTCATTTTAGCTGCAGTACTGTGTAGATTATATAAATCATCATTGAAGGACCCCATAGTAAATATGCAGCTAAGAACTTTTGGATCTGTAAATGTAAGCATGGATCTCCTATTCTTCTCTCTCCATGCTGATCAGTAATTAATCAGCACTCTGTCACTGAAACCTTGAAACCTCAGCACAACTAGTAATAATATATCAGTGGTACCTTCAAGATAAAAACCTATTTTACCCCACGAGATTCTGCCTGGGTACCTGCAGGAATCATAATGATCTATTCTATTTACAGAGCTGGGAGTATAGCTCAGTGGTAGAGTGCTGTGTAAAGCCCTGGGTTCAGTCCCCAATACCACAGAAAGAAAAAATATATATATATATATGTAAACCATTGAGGACAGAAGGGTGGACAAGCAGTATTTTTGTTACTTGTTTCCTAAAATTTATCCAGTATTTCTCCAAGCAAGGGAAATCAAGTTATTGGGGGGAAATTAAGCTATTTTTTAGTTTGTAATGTTTTTGTTTTGTTTGTTGGGCTTTCTTAGGTCTAGTCTTGAGTGCCTGGGTGTTTGGATAGTTCTAGAGAACCAGAGTGATGATGGGAGTTTTTGAGAACCAAAGTTGGTAGGCTTTTTATTCCATGGCTTCATTTTTAAATTATAAAGCTCTGTAGTGGTGTTAAAATGCCTACTCTGATTACCTTTTAATAAAACAATATGTCCTGAAATCCAGGCCCAGTATTAGATAGTCCTGCACCTTTAGAAAATACCTGGCTATTGAGCTGGAATGTAGCTTAGTGGTAGATTACTTGCCTAGCATGTGTGAGGCCCTGGGTTTGATCCCCAGCAGGGTTGGCGGAGTGGAGACAGAAAGAAAATACCTAGATATTGTATTAAAATTCTTGCTTTCCCATCATTAATAAATGTGACGATCATTATTATCCAAAGTACAGGTATGAAGATGCGAATGGTGTGAACATACTGTGTATACAACCAGAGATATGAAAAACTGTTCTCTATATATGGAATAAGAATCATAATGCATTCCACTGTCATATATAAATAAAAAAATTCTTGCCTTCCCATCCTGACCAATATGATTTACTCTTATATTGATTTCAGGAAAACAAAATCACGACATCTTTTTTAGGAACTGTTGAATAAGTTAAGTTTCTCAACTATGTTTTCAAAATGTTAGAGTTGGTGATTTTTAAAGCAGAAACCCCCAGAAGTTAGGCAATTGTTGTGCCCTGTCATACAGACTGTGAAAATTCTTGGTATTAGTTTATCAGTCAATTCATAGCATTCCTTTTGATTTGTTTGGGTCATGAGCAGTACTGACGGAAGACTTGCCACATAGAAAGAAGAACATTTCCTAGCATGTATTTTAACCCAGTGCTTCTCAAACTTTAACATGTATACAGATCACCATGGAATCTTATTCAATTGCAGCTTCTAATACACTGGGTCTGGGATGGGGTCAAGATTCTGCTGTTCTAACAAGCTCCTGTGTGATGTATTCTGTGGGTCTGCGGACAAAGGGCACAAAGTAGTTTTACTTCTCTTACATTTAAACTTCTGGGATTTGTCTTATTTTCCCTCCAACAAGGTTACCAAGACTTCAGGTTTGAGACCCATGGAACCGAAAGATATTAAAGCAGTGCGAGAATTAATCAACACTTACCTGAAGCAGTTCCATTTAGCCCCGGTGATGGATGAAGAGGAAGTAGCCCACTGGTTCCTTCCCCAGGAACACATTATCGACACGTTTGTAGTGGAGGTAAACATAAGGTGATAAGGTAGTACTGAGAAGTATGCACCACATGTGATAAAGTTTATTTTCCAGAAAGAGCACAGAGTACCAGTCTCTTCTTTCTTCCTCCAAGACTCAGTGCTTCTGGATTAGATTTCTGTTCATCTTGATGGAATTGCATTTTCTTCTTAAGTTTCCATTTCTGGATACGAGTGTATTTTTACTACATATTAATGCTTTTCTGTTGTTATCTGTGTGATTAATTGCTTTGCTCCTTTTTCAAAGGTTATTTTGGTTGACCTCAACCAGATGGCTGCATCCWAATGCTTAATTCTTTTGGTTTTGGAATAACTGAACTGCCTTTGGTTGAGATGCCATGGATTCGGCCATTTAATCCTTGTGGAAGGAAGGAAGGAGGGAAGGAAGGAAGGAAAAGTAACAGTCCAGATTTTCCAAATTCTTGTTGAGATGAATCACTTGGAAGCTCTTTTGGTAGAAATGGATTGAGTTGCTTTTAATCTTGTAAATTCTTGGAGTGGAGAGGGCCAGTTAGAAGTGATTCCAGGGTTTAGTTTACATTAGTTATATACATAAGTATTTACTTAGTGTAGTCACATATTGCCTGAGTATGGGATCACAGGCCCAATATGTAAGTCAACATTTTGTCACTGTGACAAAATATCTGAGAAAATCAACTAACCTGAGGAGAAATTTATTTTGGCTCATGATTTCAGAGGTTTTAGGTCATGGTCAGTTGGCTCCATTGTTTTGGGCCTGTGGTAAGGCAGAATGTTGTATTGGAGGGACATGGTGGTTGGAAAGAGAAAGAGAGAGCAAGGGGTTGGGGATAAGATATGCCCTTCTAGGGCCTGCCCCTAGTGATTTCTTCCTCCTAAAACTTCTTCCACCTCCCAATAATGCCTTCATATAATGAATCCCTTAATGAGTTAATTCACTGATGATGTTAGAACCCTCATGATGTAATCACTTTCCCAAAGCCTCACCTCTGAACATGGCTGCTTTGGAAACTAAGCATTTAATACATGAGCCTTTGAGGGGACATTCCAGATCCAGCCTATTACACTCAGTTAAGGCTGTAATGAAGGGGAGCCATGGTAGATAGGACTCAAAGGACATTTCTGAAGAACAACTGAGCAGTCTGTTTCTAAATTTTTATTTCCAAAGCAACATAAAGAGTTGCCATCTTTGCTTAAAAAAAAAAAAAATGTCATCTTTATGCACCTATGTGAGTTTCTCAGGGCAGCTCATCTCTCTTGTTTCAGGACTCCTTTACTCTCTGAAGAATTATTGAGGACCTCAAAGAGCTTTTATTTTATGGATTACATCTATAGATATTTACTTATTCAAAATTGAGACATTTTGATATTATTCCATATAACAATTTAATAATAATTCATTACATGCTACCTAAAGACCATATTTCATATGAAAAATAACTATTTTTCCAAACCACAAAATTAGTGAAAGATGGTACCATTTGCATTTTTGCAAATTTTGTTAATGTCTGATTTAATAGAAGACAACTAGGAACCTATTATCTGCTTTTGCTTTCAATCTATTGTGATATGTTAAGTATGTGAAGAAAATATTTCATATGAAGTATTGAAGATTTGGTTAAAAATGAATATTTTAGTTGCCTTTTCAGATAATTATAAATCTCTTAAATCTTATTAGTAAGCTTTTTATCCTCTATTACATTAGAATCCATTGGTCTGTCTTGTCCTTGTTTTTTTGTTTTTCTTTTTTTGGTGCTGAGGTTTGAATCCTGGGCCTCTCACATGGTGCTCTGCCACTAAGCTGTCTTGTCCTTTGAATGAATCTTTTATCCGTATATGAGTTTTTAACATTTTACATGGCTATTTGGAAAAAAAAAAAAAAACTGATTCACTGATTTTTTTTTTATAACTTTATTTGTTTACGTGGTGCTAAGAATCGAACCCAGTGCCTCACACGCTAGGCAAGCGCTCTATCACTGAGCCACAACCCCAGCCCCTGATTCACTGAAGTTACATTTCATCTTATGGTATCAAAAACTCACAYATGTGGATATCACAATCTTTGTTATTAGAAAAGGTTATAATGTAACTCTTGGTGAAGGATACAAGTTTTTCCAAAAATTTAACTTACACCTGAAAGCTCATATTTTATCATTGGCAGTATATCCTGCCATTTTCTTTTTCTGGAACTGACAGGCTCTCATTATTCATTTTCAAAAAACTATGCCATATACCAAGTCTGAACAACCATAATCTTGGCCAGTTTTACTTTCAAGTAGTGTTCCATGAGAAAAGTGGCTAGCTTAGCTCCCAAGTTGTTCTCCTAGAGGCAGCCTATGTGTTTCAGAGTGGTGATGGCAGCCTTCTAATACCTAGAGCTTTCATTTCTGCAAATGAAATCTTTCATTATTACTTCATAATGTAGAACACTGACTCTTCGGTCAGCCTGAGGGAAACTTTCCTGGTAGGACCTTTTGCTTTCTAAGAACTTTATGCAAATCACTGACTAGCACTTCTGCTATGGTTCCAACTGCCTGCTCTTCTTGGCCACCATCCAGCATAATAGAAGGGGCTCAAAATAGGCTGCCAAGAAAGAAGTCTTACTTGTTGCTTTTTGTCTGGACAGAAAGTTATGGTGAAAGTGTTAACTGCATGCAGTTTTTTCAAGGAGACACTTACCTGGTATCACCATTGTCTCTTAGAGCTCCAGTGGGAAACTGACTGACTTCCTGAGCTTCTACACGCTCCCGTCCACAGTCATGCACCACCCTGCTCATAAGAGCCTCAAAGCTGCCTACTCCTTCTATAACATTCACACAGAGACACCCCTGCTGGACCTCATGAACGATGCACTCATTATAGCTAAATTGGTGAGTGACTCATTCATATTTGTTCAATTTAATTCTTCAAGAGTATATGCCAAAATATATAAAACATCTCACGGTATTTGCTTCCATCCAGGTGGAATTCATGCAATGCCCTCCCCCACCCCATACACATTACTGACAATGGAAGAATTTTGCTGTATTTCTTTTAAAACATTAGTGGCTGTTTTCATCATTGATTTTATTTCAATTTAACAAAAAAGAAATGTTAGAAAACTTAACCCTCATACAAGAAGACACAAAACTCATAAGGAATATAAGATGCAGCCTATGAATGTTAATTAACTTGAAAATACATATCTTTTTATTATTTATTTTCCCAGAAAAATTATTCTTAGGTAATTATTAAATAGATATCTTTCTTTTAAAAATAAATTTGAATCAGCTGACATACATTTTGATGATACACATTGAATATGGGAAAATAACTGCTCATGAGAAATTGGAAACAGTACTTGAAAAATGTCTTCCTTGATTTCTCTTGCATTTGATCATTGAAAATATTGTATAAATTTGCTACTTTTGGTCTCCAAATCAACATTATCCCAATTGCTTATTTTCAACAACTTTCCCCAAGTGGTCAGTAAGTTAAAGTAGAAATTAAATTTAGGTATTCCTTCTATATCACATTTTGCGTAGTATTACTATATAACATTTTTAAGAAATTTAATTTTTACCATTAAAATATTAAACTTACTTTCCAGTATCAGTCCAAGACAAACATGCTATTTAAAGTCTTTACAACTTCGGTTTCTTAGCAATAGCTTCACTTACGTCAGGCCTTAGGTCAGTAGTTAATAATTCTGGAAATGGAACCATCTAGACACTGCTCCCTTCTGAATCAGGAACAAGATATTTTCTAAAATCTTAATAGGTTATTTTTATGTCAGTGAAAGCCATCAGATCACTTTTTTTTTTTTTTAATTCAGCATTTTGAAAGATCTTGTTGACTCACTCTAGCTTTTTAAGGCAATTTTRTATGGTCTTCCTAACCTATACTATACATTGCAGACATTAAGCCCTATTGTAAATGCATATCCAAGCTATTAGTAGAGGAATTAAATGTTATACCAATAATTTCTATAATTTCTGTAGATAGTCCTTTGATATTTTAAATTTTAAATCCTTCTTTCTTTGGCAGAAAGGATTTGATGTATTCAATGCACTAGATTTGATGGAAAATAAGACCTTCTTGGAAAAACTAAAGTTTGGTATAGGAGATGGTAGTTTACAGTATTACTTGTACAACTGGAGGTGTCCAGGAACAGATTCTGAAAAGGTAAGTTATGTTGACAAAGTCTTTGTACAAAACAAAGTAAGTCTAACTAGACAATTCCATCCTTGCTTCCCTTTGGATTATTCTAAATAGCTTTTAAAATCACAGATCTTTTATACTATGTTATCAATTAATTTATTTGTTCTTACTATTTCATTTCTTTCCTCCAGGTTGGACTTGTACTACAGTAGATAGCTGTGTTGACTTCTAGAACTCTGGCATCCTCATTTGTTCATATCCTATTTAATGATTACTGGAACCGCCATTCCAAAGAAGAATAAAAGCACAACCTAAGTGAAATTGAAGTAGTTGGTAACAATCAGCAAAGATGAAAAAACACCCCATGTGTGACCAGTTGTACACATTCCTAGTTAGAATGTTAAAATGCATCTTTTCTTTTTTTTGCTGTTTACCCACTTGTGGGAGGGATGAAAGGGTACAAAGAGCACATTTCTCTGGTTTTCAAACTTTTGGCTTTCTTGGTGAAGTGAGGGTACTTTTCCACTCTCTAGAAAGGGAACTGTTTTTCTATGAACTAAAGAGAAGTCACAGCATCTTGTAAGAAAATCTCTGCTATTGTGTGGAGATAAGCTGCTGCATTTCTATTTATTAAGTGGTGGTGTATTTGTCTGTATAATAGAACAAAGGATCCATTTGGAAAATTTTTTATGTATCTCACCTTACATGACATCACTGGGAACACTTATGGAATGACAAATATGGAGCAAAATGAAAATGTACTGCTTACTAGTACATTATTACTCCATAGGCAAAGTTGCCAAATCAGTAAACACAGAGATTTGTACTTTGATCTTCAGTAGGTCAATAGATGGTTTCAAAAGCAAAGTTTGAGGCAAACATTAAGTGTGCTCCCTGAAAGAGCATACACCTGTGAATGACCAGACTTTTCCACTGACCAGACTTTTCCACTGCTGCACCATCTCCAGTTTCTTTTCAGCAACATCAAGGATACATGAGGGAAAGAAAATAAAAACTCTAAGGTCAAAACTAATGCCGGGTTGCTTTATTAGTGCTATAAGGCATTGATAGTTTGAATGTTTTTATTACTYATGCAAAATTGCACATATTCCTTTATGCTGACTTTTAATTTATCATGAACTGTCATGCTAATGGAAATGTCTTATTTGTAAATAAGTATTCATAATTTTGTTACCAATGGTGTTTTTACCTAGAATTTGAAAAACAAGAGTTTCACAGTGTACATGTATGTGTATATATCACCAGTAATTCAAGGGATAAATAAGATGCTAAACAAGGCTGTAGACTGGCCTTTACTCAAGTACCACAAAGTAGACACTTCTTCCTGCCTTTACCGTACCAGTGCCTCGGCTGCTCAGTCCAGAAAAAGTTAAATTACGTTAGACAACATAATGGCATTCCCTTCATGTTTTACAAGTAATCCAATAAAACCAGTCATTATCTTAATACCAGACAGAGGACATCAAGTATGGCCCCTGGGCTTAATCTGGCCCATCACCTGTTTTTGTACAACACAGGGACTAAATGATTTTTATCTTTTTTGATTGGGGGGAAATAGTCAAAACAGTGACATTTTGTGACATGAAAATTATATGAAATTTAAATTCAGCATTCATAAAAAGTTTTCTTGGAACACAGCCACTCTTTTGTTTGTGTCTCACCTGTGGCCACTTCATGCTACAAAGGCAAGTTGGGTACTTGTGCCAGACTGTATGGCCTCCAAAGCCTAAAATATCTGCTAACTGTCCCTTTTTAGAAGGTCTGTGGATCTTGATTTACTAAGGAGTTGAAAACACAGCTGTGGCACCCAAGACTGCCACTAGAGGGGACACTTGGGCCCCACAGTAGTGCCTAACTGGTACAARCAATGTTCTTAAAAGACACAGGAAGACTTATCATTTCACAGGGTTCAAACTTAGCTGCATTACAGTTCTTATTACCGTTCTTAACAGAAGGAGAAAAACGTCAAGAAACAAAACTGGGCCAATTCACTAGAACACTTCTTGGGAATACCAGCATTAAATAAGAATTTACACAATCTGGAGTCAAGGCTCATTTACATATTCCAGTTATATTATTCATGTTATTTTACTTGATTCTTAAATACAATTAATATCACTGTTCTCTTTATAATTTAAGCAGATTACCAGTGAGCATTTTAGAGAATCAGTATGACTTAAATGCAATATAGTATTTAGAAATTTTTAAAAATTGTCCTGTAATGAAAATGCTGTATCTTTTCTTTTTAATTTGTGCCAAGATGGCACTAAGTAAAATTTAARTTAACAGATGTCATAATCCACTGAGTCAACCAGATTTTAGGCTGAAATTTGGCAAAACCATTATCTTCCCCTAAACTACCAAAAATAACTTTAGACACTTAACACAGAATGCTATGCTGCATTTCCTGTCCTCACAAAATCTTGCCTGAGAACCCACGCTCAATGTTTTTAAAAATTTACCTCTTGCTAATTTACCTCTCACCTAATTGCTATCACAGTTGTTTTCCGTTTGGTTATGTGTGTGCATGCTCATGCACAAACATTGAGGATTAAATTTGGGGGTCTACCACTGAGCTATGCCCCTACAACTCCCATCATACTTTTTATACATGTTAATTTCCAAGTAAGTTAACAATACACAGGAAAATGAATCCTAATTAAAATACTTTATCTGGCTTACTTCTATCCCACTGGGCCTTCATCCCAAGCAGATGTTTATGCCTGCCTACAAGGAAAGCCAAACTCGCCTGAAGTAAAAATATATATTCCTTCTAAAGACAAAGTATTGCAAGGCATTTGGTATCTTTGAAACTCAATGCTCCCAATCTAGTTTCATTGACCCTACTTGTTAGAACCATGTCTACTGTGGCACATTTTCCAAGTTTGATGGGAAAATGTTAGGTGTTGTAGGCTACAGATGTTCTTGCTAACAAGCATTGTACCAGCCTTTAAAACAGTGAATTTATACAAGCATGGACATTAGTTTCAATAAACTTTTGTTTTCATATTCATATTTTTGATTATTTTTTTCACTTAAATGTTTTTAGGCTTCAGCATGTTTGTGCAATAGCTTCAAACATTCATACATAGTTGAAGGAAATACCATTACACGGGATCCCAATATACATTAATATATTTCATTTTATTTGTTTCAAGCCTTCTTTATAAAAGGTGTCCTTTTATCAATTGCATGAAAAGTTTATACAAGATTACTTTGAAGTAGTTTTTTTACTTTTGGGTGGTTTCCTTATCTTATTAGGGTTGGGAATCAATTTCTTTATCTTAAGAGGCTGTAATGCTACAGAGACCTGCTGACCTTCAAGTTTTCTCTTGTGTTTTGAGAGATCTTCAAATGAAGTTTCCAAAGTCTCTTTGTCTTGGATTCCCAAAGATTCAGTTTCTAAATTGTCTCCAATATTTTCAATTCTGTCCTGAAGCCATGGTACAGTTAAACTGGGCACTCTGGGAATGATAGCTCTTACTTCATCTACAAAGTCAGTGGTGTCTTTTTTGAATCCCAATGCTAGCACACATTTTAAGCCAATGACAGGGGCGAGTGTTGCACTGAGGCAGGGAACCTGACAGGCAGGAACAACTCTGCTTACACTTAACTGAATCAAGTGTGAGGTGATGATGGCAGGCTTGACTGACTTACATACCAGAACCAAGAGCAGTTCACTCCTTTCCAGAGCTCTAGTGACTTCATTAACACCTATGGCAAGCTGCTTCCTGATCTGCACAGGCGTCCACCCTGACACCTGCTGGTTAGCTTCTGGCCTTTTGTCCTTCAGAKTCTCACTAGTATCAACATCTAGGCTGCATCTTTCTACCCTGTGCTTTTTTATAAAAGGCATTTTTTTTCTTTTTTTCTTGTCTTCGATTTTCCGAAGTCCAATAGATTTAAACTTCTGCTCAATTGTCTGTAATATGAAGTGCATGTCCTCCTTCTCCAGTGTGCTCCAACAGACAGCATAGGGGTTGTTCAAGGACGTCTTTACAACCAGAGGTCTTGTCTTGCGAATGGATCCTCTGGAAGGTGCTTGAGGGGCTGCAGACATTTTGAAAATCCTTCATAGAAAAACAATGACAGTAGAACACTCATGTCAGCTAGGAAAGCCTGTCTTGAAACTATCTTGGTTATATTTTCTCTAATTCTTGATAAGCTATAGCAAGTATTAAATAGACAGGTCCCACCTTTTCCCCATTTTTTCAGGTGACCTTGTCTTTCTTCATATATAGACAATATGGGACTCTTACATCACTGCACTTACAGTGAAATCCCATGTTAATTCATTTATTTAAAAATGTTGTTTCTCTTTGTTCATAATTACCCTTTTTATAACTATACGGTAGTCTTATAGATTTGTTAGCATTTCATACATTACTCTTTAGTTGGGTTTACTTTCATTTACTCTCACAGCAGATATTCATGGAGTACTATAGGCCCTGGGGCTCATGGTGACTTGAGACCTGTGTCCTGCACACAGTTCCACATCTGTAAGAGCCCCCAGAAGCCTCTGTGATTCATAATTAACCAGGTATAATTTGAAGAACTAAAACAGGTGTCTATGCACACAACTAAAACTTAAAACAATACTTTCGTTCTGTCCCCTTTTGTAAGTTTCCCTCCCACCCTGGCCCCTAGATTTCCTTATATCTTTCCTAAATATTTGATACATATGCAGACCTATACTCCTGCCCACGCTTATTACAAGCTGACTACTATGACTTGCAGTTTCAGGAAAACTAGGGAAACAGTAAGATTTAAAGATCCCAATCCATTAAGGAGAAATAGAAAGGTATATTTATTATTAAGGATATGCTATAAACCACAGGTCTAGGGAGCATATCCTGTAATTCTTCCCAGAGGCAACTGTACATTACTTTCTCTTCCTTAATGTTCTTCCTTCCCTTTCTGGGGCTCAGTGAGAAAGACAGGGACCCACTTGGCAAACTATAAGAAGTGAAATCCCTTCCAAATAAAGTTTAACACACAAGACTAGCAATAGAGTATACCAGTATATAAAGTACTTTACTCTTATAATCCTGGCTGCACTTCAAATATAACCTGTGGCTTTTAAAAAAACCTTCACGGTTCTCACCTCAGATCAACTGAATTGGAGAATACTGCCAAGGAATCTAGGCTTGTATATTAAAAAAAAAAAAAAAAAAAGTCTGCTGCCAAGTGAATCTGATATAGAACCAAAATTAAATCAGGTGTGGGTAAGGTGGTCTTTATACACTGGACAGGCCTGAGAAATGGTCCATTCATGTCTTCTGGTCTCTAGTATTACAAATCACCTTTCCCCAGAAAGCAA